TGCACCCTAGGCTGGCCTCAAACTCACAGCCTTCTTCCTGCTTCAGCCTCCTGAGTGCCAGGATCACAGGTATGTGCCACCACGCCTGGATGCCCTGCAGTTTCTTCACTCCAAGGTTTTAGAAGCTGAATTCTGAAGTTGAAGTAGGTAGTACTGTTTCCTGACACAGGCGATCATGTTATAACTGTCTAGCTGCATGTGCACTGTTTACAGACTGCCCTGCGCTGGGGACATACGCATTAAAGCACCCACAAGGAAAACAAGCAGTCTTACTGAGGGGCTGGCCTGCCTTAGCTTTTTGGAGTTGCAGGATTGCTCCCAACTTTCTATTTGGGAAGGAAAAAGAATTCCAAGGTTGACTCTTCATTATGGTTTATGTCTGCGTGTCCCCCCAAAGCCTCCTGCAGCCATGGGGCAGGCTATTAGAGTTTGATATGGGTGTGAGAGCTGCACCCGCCCCTGGAGTGGATAGTTTGCATATGTAAGGGAGAGGAAAAGAGTGCTTAACGCCATTCCTCCCCCATTCCTCGCTGGTGTGTGCTTGTTGCTTTTGCTGTGTTCTGCCGCCATGAGCTGTAGCCCTCTGCCATGTGCCAGTCTGCCTTGTAATCTGCCAAGTATGGACTGAAACCTCCACAAACTGTAAGCGAAATAAACCTTTCCTTCCTTCATTTTGGGCGTCAGGTATTTTGTCCCAGCAACAAGAGAAAAGTAACCAAGACTCTCTTCCTGCTGGAATTGCCCTTATTTCGGCAGTCAACGGGGCTTACTTCCTTGTTTCAGCTCTGCACTCAAAAGCTCACAGGGCACATTTCCAGGATTTCAGGAATTAGTGGATCCCTCAGTTCCATGCAGAAAATATGGAGTCACTGGCAAAATATGGGGAATGACCAGTGGAGCAGAAGAACAAGGCACCCAGCAGGTGTTAATGCAGCACGTGCTGTGTTCTTCTCTTTCCCACCCACCCACAACGTGACAGGTGAAGTCTGCCCTCACCCGGCAGCAAAGTGGCCCCTCCGCATGCAGCCCAAGGATGGCCACTCTGCACTTTCCCACAGCTGAATCCTCAGACCTGACACCCACCCACCCACAGGAGCTCATGGAGACCACCTCACTGGCCTCGTGCTGTATAGCCTGGAGGGTTGGAACAAGAATGGGGCCTGGTGTGCTGGCGCAGGCCTGCAGTCCCAGCACTTGGGAGGCTGAGGCCTAGGGTACATAGTGAGTTCAAGGCCAGCCTGCACTACACAAGTGAGACCATGTCTCAGAAAACAAAACACTCAAAAAAAAAGAACCAAATGTTTCACTAAAACGTCTGGATGACTGGACGACAATCCTGGGGAGATAAGTGCCCACTCAGCAAAGCCCATCTCAAGTGAATCACGGATCGCACTTCTGTCCCATCCCCCTGGGCACCTGGCAGGGTCAGCTTCCCCAGGTCTTACAAAAGCACTCACATTTGGGTGTCTGCTCTATGTACTTACTGGGTAGCCCTGCAATCTACCATGTGCGGTGGGTGCTTGAACAAGAGAAGATTCTCTAGGTGGACTGGACTGCAGAAGGTGTGATTCTGCAAATGCAGCCCCCACAAGCATACAGAGCATGCAGAATTGCAAATATTTGGAACCTGACGCAAACATGAGAGCCCCTGGTGTTTCTAAGGAACTGTCAGTGCTGTAATAGTGAAAACCAGCCTGAGGGGCTGGGGCTTTCAGGGACGTGCAGGACACCTCTGCTTGCACCTTGCCACTCATTTCCTTGCCTCGAACATGACTGCCCATATTGCCTAGAGCCTCCATTTCTTGAGGGTCCCCAGAATTCTGTCCCAGTGAAGCACTGCGAACCAGGCCTTCCCAACATCAGCAGTCTGGAGCTTGAACCAAGAGTGCTGAGAGTGCAGAGGAGATCCAGGCCATGAAAACCACAGACAGTTACATGGGGAAACCGGGCCTTTCCTTTGCCTTCTGGGTCTTGGCCACACCATCCCCTGCCCAGCAAAGCCCAGGCATGAGCAAAAGCAGGCCTTGGCCAGTGGTCGGCTGTGGCTCAGGTACATATGTCGGGTGACATAAACCCGAAGCCCCAAAGCCGCAAATCAGGAACCAGCCAACTTTTTCTTTGAAGAGTCATATAACAAATATTTAACACTTTGCAAGTCACCCCATCTCTGTTGTAATTATTCATCTATCTGTAGTAGTATAAAAGGGAGTCAACAGATGAGCAAGGCTGTGTTTCAATAAATCTTTATTTACAAAAACAATGAGCTGACCACATTTGGCTTGCCGATTGTAATTTGCTAACCATTGCCCTGAATGACACTGAGAAGATGGTCTGGCTGCCCAAGGGCACTGCAGCCCAGGCTTAGCCTCAGTGAGATGGGCTGGTGCTGTCCTGAGGTTGATCTGGTGCAGAAGAGCACAGTGAGCTTGGAGTTCCTGACCAAGTGCTGAGTGTAGAGGCCAGAACATGAGGGCCGCTCTGGAAAAGGCCGAGCTTTCTGTGTAGGAAGGCTCGGCCCTGTAACCCAGGCACATGTGGTCCCTTGGCAGTACTGTCTCTTCTGGGCTCCTAGGAGCCCTTCTGCTGGGGCCTGACCACCAGCCCCTCTCTGGTGATGGCCCAGTTGTAGTTCTTCGGGGAGTCCAGTGCTTCTTCCACCCGCGCCTCCAGGTTCTCTCGGGTGATAAAGGTTTTCGCCTCCTCCTATGGGAAAGAAAAGGCCAGCTGCATGGGAGCCCCATACAAACTGGCAGCCTGCAGAGCCTGCTGCAATCTGGCTCCCCGCAGGCCCCAGCTGCCCCTCAGGGAAGGGTGTCTGCAGGCCAAGGCTTCTGAGTGCCCCCCTGAGCTTCCAATGGAGTAACATCAGACAGCCTTACCAGATCCCTCTTTCTGAGACAGTCATGTGGACACCTCAGACAGAACCCTAAGCACTAGCTGTGACAACCTTGTGGACTCAGTCCCTAAATGCTACCTGGCCCTTTTTTTTTTTTTTTTTGGTGTGTGTGTGTGTGTTTGAGACAGAGTCTTGCTATGCACTTCAGGCTGCCTTGAACTTATTAGGTAGCCCGGGATGGGCTCACACTCACGGCGATCCTCCTGCCTCAGCCTCCCGAGTGCAGGGATTACAGGCATGAGCCACTACATCCAGCCTCCTGGTCCACTCTTAAAACACTCTCCAACTGGTTCCTTTCCCTCTGTTTAATTCAAGCCTCACCCACGGACCCTGGATTACTCCTCAACCTGCTCATCCTTCCTAGCAAAGTCAATTTATCAATGACCTCCAAGGTCAAACACACCCTTCTGTGTATTTCGGGGTCTCTCCAGCAAACACTGGCCTACTCTGCTAGTGCCTGAACAGGTTCCCATTTGCACTCTACCCAGGTCTCGGCAATCACGGCCCCTCGCGCCTTTCTCTCCCAAGCCCTCGCCCGCTCAGTCCCCGGCCCCGCCGCGGCGCACCTGCAGCTGCTGCACCTCCTGCTCCTTGAGCCGCACCCAGGCCTGCTCCTCCAGGGCCCGGCGCGCCCGCTCCTCCGCGTGCAGCCGCTCCTGCTCCTGCGCCTCCTGCTGCAGCCTCGCCAGCCTGTGAGGGGCAACCGGCCGAGGCTGAGCGGCGTGGGGTGGAGCGGGGGCGCCCGCGGCCCCGCCCCAGTCCCTCCCCTCAGCGCCCGCCCCGCGCACCGCAGCTCGTGCAGCCGCCGGTTCTCCGCCCGGTTCCAGGCCATCAGCTCCCTATGCTCGGCCGCCTCCTCCTGTGCCTTGCGCTCCGCCTGGACCCCGGCGCGGGCCTCGTGCAGCTTCTTCCGCACCTCCGTCACGAACTCCAGCCTGGGCGGGAGGAGCGCCCATCAGCACCTTGTGCCCGTTCCCCCCGTTCCCCGAGGGCCGCCGCCCCGCAGCCACACGCACCTGAGGGCGCGCACGACCTGGCGGTACAGCCGATACCGCTCCGTCAGCACGAAGAACTCCGCAGGGTCCACGGCGGGCGGCGTCCTCACGCGTCCGGCACTGGACTTAGACGGTGGGTCGTGGCGGGTCTTGCGGTCGCGCGCCGGTATCAGCAGCACCGCCTGAGGCCGGAGCGGGGCCCCCGCACACAGGGCGTTCAGCGCGCGGAGCATGGCTGCGTACACTCCTAGCCGCTCGACCCCGCCCTGACCCGGAAGCGGTCGCGGGGCACCACGGGACTTGTAGTCCTCGGGTCTCGCCCCGCCCCATGGGAGTAGTGGTCCCGCGCCGAGGCCAGTCCGCCTCCCGAAGGCCCTCCCACCAGCAGGACACTCGCGGGACAGGGCTCTCAGCGGGGGTGGTGGAGGGAAGGAACGAAGGAAATTACTCGAGGCAACAGCACCGTGGACCTAAACGCTTTTATTGGGAGCGGCGGGAACGTCGCTCGGGCTGTGTTCTGCGGAGGGAAGGAGCGGTCACGCCATGGGGTACTTCGGTCCCCTGACTCCAGACTGTTCCCACCCGTCCGACTTAGGCTTCCACTTCTCTCGGAGCCCTCTCCCGCAGGCGCCTGAGGACCCAGCGTGGGGATCTTCAGCTACCTGGGCATGCGACCTGTCCACCCTAAGCAGCCCTGAACTCAAGTTAGGCCACAGAGCTTCGCCTCTAGGAGCCTCCACATCCTCCTTTAGTTAAGGTGCTTCTCTTAACTTTATGCTCCATGTGCAAAATTAGCAATAAACCGTTTCGCGGTGCCCGTCTTCCGCTGTGGTCTTGGGGCGCTGTGCAGAGCTGTTCTGCTTGTCGTGCCAATGACCCCTTGTGCCTTTGAGCCCTGCCCCTTGTTCGTGTGAGGAACACCCTCCGCTCTTAGCACTGGCCACCTTGAGATTGGCTTGTCAAGAAACCAGGGGACCCTGCCACTGTCTTATTTATGGGGGTTTTTAGTACAGTTATCTCCTGCTCCTCTAGTGACTCGAGAAACAGCTGGGGTGCAGGAGCAGGGCGTGTCCCCGTGGTGTTGCACCCCCTCCCCAGTAGCACGGCCGCTGGGCACCATGGCTGGTGTTGAATGCTGGGCCTCTCACCGCGCCCACTCTCACCAGTAGCGTTTACACCAGGTGCTGTTTCCTGTGGAGAGTCCAGCGGGCCGTGCTTTTGCCGTCCCAGGGCACAGTGTCTTCCGAAGGAGCCAGGTCATCACTTGGGAGTCCGTGGCAGCCTGGGCGAGCCTGCCTGCTGCAGTGCCCAGGACCCTTCCTCAGAAGGGAACAGGCTGCGACCTGCCTCTACCCCCAGGCCCAGGTATGCAGAGGAGCAGCAGCCAGCTCGGTCTTCCTCCCCACCTGGGGGTCTGGGAACAGTCTGGGAATCCTGGGGTGAGCTGGAGGCTCGCTTTCCTCCAGGGTACCAGCCATGGGACCAGAGCTGAGCCCTCAAGGGTCAGGGGCAGGTGGTTAGCAGCAGTAGGAGCAGGAGGCCCAGCCTAGAGCTGGCCATGGCAGGAATGTACTCAAGGACATTGAGCAGAACCCAAGGATGCTGACACTTCCGCAATACCCCTTCCTCTTCCTCCAGGGTCACCCTGGCCAACCAGCAACTGGGGCAGCTTTAGTGTCTCCCAACACCTTTCCCTTTCAGCCACTTGTCATCCAAGGCCCACGGGTTCAGATTCCGAGGCCAGGGGAAGGTAATCCAGGGGAGCATTTGGAGCAGCTGGTGCTGGGGAACCAAGTGGCAGTCTTTGTGCCCCACCATGTCCCTTCTGTAGTAGTTGGGGGTGTGGAAGATGTGTGGTGGTGACGAGGCAAGTGCTTCCATCCCGTCCCTCCCATGCCTGTCTGGCAAGCACAGAACACATGGGGAGCGTTGGGGGTGGGGGAAGGGGGCTTCTTTTCTAGGAATACCAAGGGTTTGTAGGCCTCATGTTCATGATTTCTTGGTTTGTAGGCCATCATGTTCATGATTTCTTGGTTTGTAGAAGTCATAGGACTCCTGGTCCAGGCTGGTCCATGTCCTGGTCCTATCTTCCCACTTCCCAGGTTGCATCCTCAAGCTCCTGCCCTTGAGGCCTACAAACCCCTTTCTGATCCAAAAATGGTGATCCTGTTTCGCCTGTTAAAGTGGGCAGGCAGAAGGTTCATAGCCACACACCTAGTGCAGGGCTGGGTCACACCAGATGCAGGTGGGCTTGGGTGAGCTATCCAGGGGTGGCCTCTCTTCCCTCCAAGCAGGCGCAGGAGAAGGGACCAGGAGAGAGGCTATCAATAGCAGGTACATTTGTCTTCTAAGCTTAAACGCCCTCTCATCCCACGCTCACCAGGACCATTCATGGATTTTGACAGACCTGGGCTACATTGCTGGCAACAGGGCCCTGTCTCCCAGTGTGTGTCAGTAGCTCAGCTTTCCACTGCCAGCCTTAGCCTCTAAGGGCCAGAGGCGGGTTTACATGGTTAATAGCCAATCAGCACTTGGGCTGAACAGCAAATTTGAGAGCCAGGGTTCAGCTTGGCATCCTGATGAGCAGAGTCACTGTGCAAAGAGTCATCAGATCCTGTTGCAGAGACGGGACCGTCCTGGGCATGTGGGTTTCAGCTGTGATTTTCCAAACTGACATATTAGCAGAGACTTGAATGTGAGGACTGCATATTCAGTTAAATTGTTTTGGGAAATGTATAGACTTTGTAAACTGAGTGATGTTTAGAAAAATATTTGCTTTGTGGCTTATTAAAAATAGCTCTTTGAAACCAGGCACAGAGGCACATCCTGGCAATCCTAGCTACTCAGGAGGTAGAGGCAGGAGGATCATGAGTTTGAGGCCAGTCTGGGCAATACAGTGAGGCAGGAGACTAGGATGTGGCAAAGACAGCCGGGAAAGTGGGCATGACCTGTCAATTACAACATTCCAGGACAAATGCACACAACAGTTCCCATAGTACCCCTGCAGCTACCCATGGACTTTTTGCTGGAACTCAGCAGCTTTTTTGATGGGATGGCCCAGACCTGATGGCAGCCTCAGGGTGGGAAACACAAAAACGACAGTTGGCCTTGAGCTTGGGGCATCTGTGTCCCTTCACAGTGAGTAGTTCACTCTCGTCTTTTTTTTTTTTTTTTGTACCAGGAATCGAATTTAGGACCTTGTGATTGCCAGGCAGGCGCTGTGCTACTGAGCCATACTCCTGGCCCATCACTCTCGTCTTACAGGGTATACTTATTTTCCTGCTGTTACTTGGCCCAAACTCACTCTGCAGAGTCTGTTTCTTTTCCTATCTTTAAGAAAGGGAAAACTTGGCTACCATTTATGCTGGTCTTGACCAATTCTTTGCCCAGGACAGAAAGAACCTAGAAACCACCTCTAAAAGGAGGCTGCAGCTTTCCACACTGGGCAACAATAGCAAGAGACTATTTCATGTAAAAGAAAAAGGGCTCAGATGTGGTAGAGCACTTGCCCAGCATGTACAAGGTCTTGGGTTCAAGCTCCAGCACTGCAAAACAAATGAGTAAACACCTCTTTGAGTTCAATTGCCCAGCTTTGCTCAGGTTGGATTTATAGAATGTTTCAAAGTCTGTGGTGTTGTTTTATTTTGTTTGAGACAGGATCTCACTATGTAGTTCATGATGGCCTGGAACTCACTATGTAGCCCAGGCTGGCTTTGATCTTGCAGTGATCCTCCTGCCTCAGCCTCTTGAGTGCTGGGGTTCCAACCATGGGCTCCATGGATTTTGGGCAAGCATTCTACCACTAAGTTACACCCCCAGGCCCTTAATATTTATTTTAAAAGAGGAATGGGATGCTTTTTTTTTTCTGTAATTTGATTACGGTTTTTCCTGAAAAAGTCCAAACCAGAGTAACTAAGCTTCTCCGGGAAAGTTCTGGTCCCTCTTTCTGGCACCATACTTAGATTTTCAGGACTGGCTGATAATCCCTTCCACATTACCAACTCTGTAGTTCTTCCTCATTATCCTAACAGAACAGGAAAGATATCTTCAACATTTACCAACTAATGCCTGGCTGTGAGGATAAAACATCACCGCAGCTGGGCACTGCTCACAGGCAGCTGGGAAAGCAGAGGATCAGAGCTGAATGCCCAGCTGTAGCCAGACAGAGGTGTACAGACCCTGAACAGTGGCTGGGGCCAAGGATGAAGACGAGTTAGCTGGAGAGATGGGGGAACACCATGCAAGGGCACAGTGGGGTGCGCCAGTGAGAGCAAAATGGAGGGCTGCCGGTGATCTGTGGGTGCAGGATGGTGGGGTGAGCACATTGGATAGGCAGAACCCAAAGGACTGGGGACAGCCTGAGGGGGGCCTAGCGGCAGATGCTTCTGGACCACTCTGATGACTCAGCAGGAAATTCGGAAGGAGGGAAAGGGTGGAGGAGAGCTGAAGGTCCAGATAGCCCAGGTCCTCAAACTCCATGGAAGGAGACTGTGCAGCAGCTACTGAGATGAAAGTCTGGAGAATCACTGATCCTGGGGGAGTTAGTGGATGGGAAGCAGTGGATCCCGGCCACCCTGGCAAGCTCAGGTGAAAAGCATGTGTTATGGTTCAGTCTAAAATGTCCCCCTAACTGCTCACCTGTGTGGGAGGTGATGGTATCGTGGGGCGCTGTGCTCATCAGGGGATTCACACACCCAGGAGCTGACTGTGCCCTTAGGAGGTGGGCCTGGGAGGAGGCAAGTCACTGGGGTGTGACCTGGAAGGGTACCTTTTTGCCCTGTCTCCTCCCTTTGCTCTCTGCTTCCTGGCAGCCATGGGTTGGGTTGAGCACCTTTTTTTCCACCATGTTCTTTTACTGTTTCTCCACTGTGCTGTTTCTTCCTTGGAGCCAGCCGACCACGGACCAGAACCATGAGCCACAGTAGACATCTTTGAAGTTCGGGTGTTGGGTATTTTGTCCCAGGGATGGCAAAGTAAGACAGCACGTGTGGGAACGAAGCAAGGAGGGAGGAAGGAGAGTTCAGAGTACAGACTTTTTCACAAGTCTATCATAAGGGGAAGAACTTGGGTTCTGAGGGAAATGTATTTTGGGGATGGTAGTGAATGAATAAAAATGAAACCCAGAAGGGAGTTTACTTCAAGTGAGGTCTCTGAGAATGGCAGGGCCTAGAGCTTTGGGTGTACGGTGCTCATGGCCTGCTGCTCTTCTCTTTGGGGAGGGCACTGGATGAAGTGGTCACCCTTGCCCTTCCTACATGATTGTGGTGTGTGGGTCCAGGACACTTTTTCTTTGGTTCTTGCTAGATTTACCTGTCTTGCAAACATGGAAGCAAGCCCTGAGTGAGAAAGAAGTGGGAGGGATGAAGGGATGAGGGCTCTTGTAATGGAAGGGGAGAGAAGAGCTGAGCTAATTCCTGCTGGAATTCCTGCTTAGCAATTAGGTAACAACTACAATACTGGTGCAGCAGAAACCTGGCCAGGCCTCATGCGTGTACCCGCCCAAGGCAGCCCTGGCAACAAGTGAGCAGCTTGCTGGGCGCTGAGGACACAGCACTGGGATGTGAGGCGTGGGGGCGGCCTCCCGAGTGTGCACCGGGAGTCCGGTGACCAAAAAGACAGGCGCGCTTCCCTAAGCACAACACTGGAAATTACTGATTCTGTCTTTATTTACTTTATCGTAAGGCTTCTTTGGTCTTTTCTTTCTGGTCTTTACAAGGCTTCCTTGGGAACTGCTGGATTTTGAGTGAACTGTCTTTTGGGGTTCAGTAGTTCCTACAGAAGTACTGAATGCCTCTAACGACTTGCACGCACCGCTTTTGTTGTAGTTGCTGTGGTTGCTGAGATACTGAACACAGAGCCTCATGTATGCATGCTAAGCAAGTCTACCACTGAATCATATGCCGAGCCCCTAATTTGGGGGAAGAGTTATTTTTGCTTTCATTTTGTGGTGGGTGGTGCTGGGGATTGAACCCTGAACCTTGTCCATGCCAGACAAGTGCACTGTCTTTGATTTGTTACCTTCTGCTGCCCTTAATTTTAAAATACAGTAATACCTTGGTTCACAAACATTTCTGTTTGAGAAGAGATGCATTCAGCAAAATTTTGCTTCTGTGCACAAACTCCACATTGGGTAACAAACATGAACTTGGCCATCTTCCCCAGAATCATGAAATGAATTAAGTTCATGAACTGAGGTACTACTGTATTTAATTTGATGCATTCATTTGCTCATTTTTCTTTCTTTCTCTTCCTTTCCTTTCTCTTTCTTTTTTTCAAGAGGGACAGGCTTATTTAGCTCACAGTTTGTAGGGGTTTCAGTTCATCGTCAGCTGGCTCCAAGGCAGGGTAGAATTGCAGACAGGCACTGTAAAGGAGAACAGGCAGAAGGTAGCAAAGCAAACAAGAGTTCATTTTTGTTTCTATACCTAGGTATTTTTTTAAAGGTAGGACCTCCCTACATTGCTCAGGCTGCCTCAAACTCCAACGCTCAAGTGATCCCTCTGCCTCAGCCTCCCATGTGAGTAGCTGTGACTCCCTGCACACACCTCTTGAAGCTTCCACACGTGCTGTCATTGCGTCCCTGCCTCCTTTGTGCACACATATCTTGAGTATACAGTGCACAACCGGGCTGCCCTCTTGGAACCACTGGATGTGGACTGTGTCCCCTGAACTTAGAGGCCCTGTGCAGTGCAGCTCCACTTGATCTTCCCTCCTTTGTACTGACCCTAAATTTCTAGCATCCCTTGGCTACAGTTCAAGTTCCACATTCTCCAAGTAGCCCAGTGGCAGCAACCCATGAGGACCAGGCTGGGATCCTGCCTTACTCCTGATGCTGATGAGTGCAGGGCCTGCTCTAGCTCTCAAGAAAGGCACATGGCCACGGGCTCCTCTGCTCTGCTCTGCAGCTACCTTCTGCTCCTGTGATGCGCTGTGTGAGCCTACGAGTGGCGGGCAGACTTACCCTTCCAGCTGTGCCCCAGCGCAAGGCCACACTGCCTAGCACCCCTTGTCATCATGTGTAGTCACAGGATTAGGTATTAGCCAATGGTGTATGAGTGGAAAGGCACAACTTCTGCATTAAGCCCCTAAAAATAAAACTCTTTGCTCTCCATGCTCTTTCTTCATGCTAAGATGGAATATGGACACAGCAGTGATCAGCCTCCCACCATGAAGATGAGAATTTCATTTTGGGGGACTTGGGACCAGAGAGGAAAGGATGCTGGGACTCTGGCTCGAGTAGAGTATTATATGAAAAATAAATGAACATCTACCTTCCCTAGGACACGAAAGTTCCATGTTGGGCCGGGCATATAGCTCAGCAGCACAGTGCCTGCCTAGCAAGCATGAGGTCCTGAGTTTGATTCTCGGTACCCTCCCTGCCAAAAGTTCCATGTTTCTGTGAGACACGTCAGGCTTGAGACCAAGTTGGGATCTGAGACTCCCACTGAGTAGAGATCTAGGACTCTCATTATGTTAGCTTCTGGATCTACAAGACTTTCACATAAAGTCCTAGAATTGAGGATACATACGGAAGGAAATGGAGGCTCTGAACCAGTCAGTGTGGATATAAAGACACTTATTCTGGACAGAGTGATACAACCTAGACTGCTCTGGAGCAAAGCACCAGGGGCTGGAGAAGTCACACTGGCTTTGGCCTCCAAGGCCAAGCCAGCATCTCTTTCTCCAGTGGCTCTTTTTTCTTTTTCTCTTTTTTTTTTTTTTTTTGTCTTTTTGAGACAGGGTCTCACTCTCCAGTTCAGACTGGACTTGAGCTCACTTTGTAGCCCAGGCTGGTCTCGAACTCACAACGATCCTCCTGCCTCAGCCTCCCAAGTGCTGGGATTACAGGCGTGTGCCACCACGCCTGGCCTTCTCCAGTGGCTCTTAATAGAATTTTTCTCTGTACCCAGGGAGGCTGGCGAGGACCTCACCATACCGAAGATGTGCTGAGAAAGACAAGAGGACCCTAGGGAATAGGTAGAGATAGAGGGGCTGCACTTGAGGAGGAGCCAGGGCACCCAGAGACAGCAGCAACAGCAGGGCCAAGAGTGGCCTAGAAGAGCCGAAGCCCTGTCCGGCTGCCCCACCCCAGACAAAGGGAGAGACATTTCCTCAGGGAGTCAAAACTTTATTATCTGATAATCCCTAGTGTGGTGCCAGAGATACCGCTCTGGTCCCATTACTCCCCACGGGGGGCTGCTGGGATGCAGGCAGTAGGAGAAGTGGATGGGCCAGCGAAGGGGAGGGATATTTACAGTGCAGGGAGGAAACAGAGGCCTGCATGGGGATACTGGGACAGCCATTTCCTCGGGAGCTCTGAGAACTTTTGTGCTTTTTTCCTTAGTTGGTACCGAGCTATCTGGAATGGGTTTTGTGTTTATCTTTAGGAAAAGATGTTTAAACCAAAGAACAATTCAGCCCAATTCCTAGGCCGAGGACTTCACGATATCAATCCAAACATCACACTATTTAATTCCCCAATAAAACATTGGAAAAAGGACTATCAGTGCTAACACATTTACATATAAAATCTCCACCTAATAGGTAATAGAAGCCTATGTACCAATTTCTAAAACAGTTATAAGATATATACACAATTTTGGGTATATTAACAAAACAGAATATTACAAAATATTAAAGGCAATTCTCCTGTCCATGGGGCTTGTCGCCTGTCACTTGAAGTTGGCATAGTCTGAGAAGGCGTCAATGTACTCTTGCACCACTTTGTAGCAGAACTCATACTGTTCCTGGAGAGCAGAGGCCGGGAAGAAAGCCAAGGTTACTGAGGAAATGAATGTTTGCAAAATCCACCCGGGGCCCTGACCTGCCTGCTAGAGTCCTGACGTTCTGCCCTCTGGGCTGAGTGCAGCGGATCTTCTCTGAGCTGGCCGGCCTGACGAGAACAGCCCTGGCCGCTGCAGCGTCAGCCCTGAGTGAGCTGGGCTGGGAAATGGAGCATCTGGACTGGGGCCCAGCCCTCACCATGGCTGCCAGATTAGGATGTTCTCTGGTTCTCAAAGCCGCAATCTTCTGCCAAACTTCCTAAAATTTAACTTTTCAAACCTTTCTAGTTCCACAGGATTCAGGAAAACCTTTGTGGATGTCCAGACTGTTAAGAATTAGACCTCTTATCAGGGAGTCGAACAGAACAAGGGCAAGACCTCCTGCCCTCTCCCCTAGACCCAAGTGAGATACAGAAGCAGCAACCTTTCCTAACTTGTCACATCCCCTTTGGTGTGACAAAGGCTCCTCCCACTGGGATCCTTCTTGCCTTCCAAGGTACTTCCTGTCTGTCTGGGCCACCTCGGGGAAGGGTGGGTCTGTGATCTCTCAGTCTTCTGACTACTGGATGGGCCCCCTGAAGGCCTCTCTGATGGAGAAAGACTGCAGATGGTGGTGGCAAAGACAAGGACCTAGCATACCAGTGTCTGGACCATGTGTGGCCTCTGTAGCCGCAGACTCTTGACAGTCTGGAAGACATCCAAGATCCCCTCTGCCTTCACACGCTCTAGGACTGTGCTCAGAGCACAGAAGGTCCCGGTCCGTCCTGCCCCAGCACTGAAACAAAGCAGACATCTTACTACTAGACATCTGTGCTGAGGGGTGAGTGGGTATGGGGGGTGCAGATATAGCCTGAGGTTGGTGCCAGGGAAGTGTGTGATCTACAGAACTGCCAGGGGAGGATATGGGAGGGCCGGGAGGCCCATGCTCACCTATGCCCTCTCGGCCTGGAGGAGCCCTGTGAGAGCCCTGCCGGCATGGCACCCTCTGTCCAAGCCCTGCCTGTGGGACTGTGGTGATGACTCCATCAATGCTAGCCCTTGCTGAGCATGGCGGTGCATGCCGGCAATCCCAGTACACAGGAGGTTGAGGCAGGAGGATCACTGAAAGTGTGAGGCCAGCCTGGACCAAGTAGTGAATTCAAGGCCAATCTGAACTACATAGTAAGACCCCATCTAAAAAAATAAAAAAGCCAAACCCCAAACCAAATCCCAAACCAAACTGCAAACCAAAACCAAAACCAAACCCCAAACCCACTAGCCCTTGCCATCCACCTACCAACACGCCTGGGTTGCCCTGGCCCTTTGGTGGCTCAAGTTTGGGTCCACTCTTCCCTTTCTCTGACCAACTGTCTACACGGGTGTGTATCTGCTGACTCTTTTCCATGCCTCTGATATTCCTAAACTGAGGGAGTCTGGATTCCGACCTTGAAATTATTCATCCTGTTCTGTGCTATCAGAGGGTTCTGTTACGGGACACTGAGTGCCTGCTCAGTGGCAGAGGGCTGTGGGGCTTAGCAGTCTCCTCAGATATTAACATGAGCAGTAAGGAGAGGGGAAAGAACAGTTCCAAGCAGGGTGCCCAGAGAAGGCTCTCTAAAGGGATGCTGAGAGAGCAGAGATGCCAGGAAGGTGGTCAGAAGTCCTACAGCTGTCTGGGGATGAGCCTCCCAGGCCAAAGGCAGGAGGGTCCTGAGGATGCTGAAGGCCATGTAGCTGAATGTGTACAGGCAGACAGGAGATGGTGGGGGTGAGGTCAGAGCACCAGGAGAATGCTAGTCCCCAGTGCACCTCCCTGGCTGGCCTGGCAGCGAACCCTCAGATCACGGTGAGAGTCTATGTGAAGGAATGATGTGGCTGTGGTCTGACAAAGGTTAAAAGGTGCCTTCAGGCTGCTGTGTTGAGAACAGCGTCAGGGAAGGTGGGAGCAGGGGGACAAGCCAGGAGGTGGCACAATTACGGGGAAGGGCAAGTGGCTTGCACAGAGTAGCCAAGGGGAGACAGTGAAGAATACTCAGTTTCTGAGATTATGTACAGGTAGAGCACGACTGCTGATGGATTAGACGTGCTGGGTGAGAGAACAGGGTAGTTCCAAGGCTTCTCCCTGGAGTTAAGTGGGTAATGAAAATACCCCTTACTGATCTAGGGATGGCTGTGGGAACTGCAGGCTTGGGAGGAAGCATTAGTTCTCACTTGAACCCTACACTGAGCATGCCCATTAGACAGTCACATGGAAATACTGAGTAGGTAATTGGACACATAAACCTGGAGTTTAGATGGGAGGGTGAGCTGGTGATAAAGACTTAGTTGCTATCAAAGCCAGGAGACTGGGTTAGCTCAGCAAGGGGCACTGTCTATTGACAGACAAGGGGTTCAAGGATGGGGGCCTGGGGAAGAACCAGCACAGGACACAGGGAAGGAAAAGCCTATGAGTAGGGAGTCAAGTATACAGAGACAACGTGATCACTGGCTTCAGCAATCTGTAGGCCACAGGCAGCCCAGTGGGGCAGCTGCGCGGGTGGGGTGGGGTGGGGTGGGGTGGGTGTAACTGGACTGGGCTTGACAGAAGATGCAAGGAGAGCAACTGAGGGTGTGACAAACCTGAGAAAATTTACTGTTAAGAAAAACTCAGGATAAACTTTTTTAAAAAAATGTAATCTCAACACACCCCAAACAAAATTTACCTTCTCCCTCCAAACAAGCCTTCTTACCATCTTTCTTCTGTTACTTCAACAGTTACCAGTAACCCAGGCTCAAACCTGGGAGGCATTCCTGGCTCTTCTTTTGTTTTTTGTTTTTTTTTTTTGTTTTTTGTTGTTTTTGTAGTACTAGGGATTGAACCCACAGCCTCTGCACTAAGCTACATCCCCAGCCCCTTTTGTAATTTGAGAAAAGTTCTTGCTAAGCACTAAGTTGTCCAGCTGGGTTCAAACTCATGATCCTGCTGCCTCCATGTCCCAGATTGCTGGGAGTACAGGTGTGTACCACCATGCCTGGCTCTTTTTCTGTTTTTTCCACATCTCTGTTTCTATCAACACTATGTGGTTATTTTTTAGTGATTTGATTGACTGACTGAAGTACTATGAATTGAGCCCTGGGTCTTCTCATTGAGCTACATCCCCAGCCCTTTGTAAATTTTGAAATTTTCAAACAGGTTCTTATTAAATTGCAAAGTTGCCAAGGCTGGGTTTGAACTTGTATCCTCCTGCCTCAGCCTTCCAAGTGTTGAGATTACAGGTGTGTGCCAACATGCCTGACTCCCAGCAATGTTATTAGTTTCCCAGCACTTAATTAATATGCTAGGTTCAAATCTGAAGACTTGGGGCTGGGATTTAGCTCAGCGGCAGTGCCTGCCTGACAAGTGTGACGTCGTGAGTTCGATTCCCGGTACCAGAAAAAAAAAACCAAAAAAAACAAACAAATCTGAAGACTCTCTGATCCTCTGGCCCTGTCTTAATCATCAAACTTGACTTCCATGTGCTCATCCATTCTGCCTTTGTGCAGCTTTTCTCATGGTCTGATATGTGTGGCCCTCAGCTGCCTCTGTGGTCTCTGCCCTGTCTGAGAGCAGGGCAGGTGGTACCTGCAGTGCACAGTGATGGGGTGGTTCCCAGACTGCTGCTGCTGCTTCTGCACGGCTGCGATGATGCTGATCATGCCCTTCCCATCACTGGGGATGCCCACTTCAGGCCAGCCGTGGAAGTGGAACTGTCGGATCTGCCGGCTCTTGTTCTCCTGCAGAGGAAGGGTTTAGGAGGACAGGCAGTCCTGCTTCCCTTTGGGAGGGTCCCCATCCATACCCCTCTTACTCTAGTGTTGGTGACCAGGAGGTCTCGGACGGTGTAGCTCTCACATTCCTCCTCTTTCTTCAGCTCTACTGTGATGTCTCCATAGGACACCACACCATCCGACGGCCAGTACTGGGCGCACTTCTCCTAGGGGACAAGTGGGACAGGGCAGGGTTAGAATGCTAAGTGTGGTAGAGGCACCTCTGCCCACAGGTAGCTTGAGCCCTCTCTCAGCACTGCTGTGTTTACACTGACATGCTTCATTCTCAGGGTGTTCAAAACTCAGGAGAGCACCACATTACCTCACATCATTCTAATTAACCTCTGATTTCAATTAACCAGAGATTATCAGTTAATCATGTAGTGTTGCTTATTTACAGTCCAGTTTATACTATGACAGGGTCTGTGATGAACTCTAACCACTCTTTCAGTGCAGTATCAACACTCAAATAGGTGTGGGGAGGAGAGGTGACTGCCTTTGTTCAAATTCCTCCCTCTGTCCTCCAGGTGTTTCCACATTTTATTTATTATTATTATTTTGATTTTTTGAGACAAGGTCTTGCTACATATTCCAAGCTGGCCTGAACTCACTATGTAACTCAGGCTGGTGATCCTCCTGCCTCAGTTTCCCAAGTGCTGATATTATATGCATGCAACACCATGCATAGCTTACACATTTTACTGCTGTTTACATAGACTGCTAATCTATAAAAGCTGAATCCATTTACTCCCACTCAGCCACAGTGCTTCTCCATAGCCCTGCCCACACACGGTATCTTTTTCTCCCTTTTTGATCTCTTTCATCTACAGTGGTACCTTAAAGTTGCCTTCACTCACACGTCTGTCTTTGCTAAGTGAGGAGAGATGTTTACTCTCTGTACCTGGCTCAATACCCTCTCCAGCTCCTTCTGGGGAGGGGCTGTCTCTTTTCAACTTTGTATTCTCAGCACCTTGTATGATGTGTGGTATATAGTAGGCTCTCAGTAAGTACTGGTGAATGAATTTGTTCAGTGTCTGCAGAACAAGTCAAGGCATGAACATGTAAAAAAAAAAAATAGTTACATGGTTTTTTAGAGCCATGGGTGTAGAAATCTGAAGTTTACTACTGGCAGTTTTAAAATTCTCAACCATACATGTACATATGCTCATTAGAAAAGATTTGGAAACACTGAGAAAAGTAGGAAAAAAATCACTGATAGTATCATAGTCTAATAAATTCATTATTTTTATTTTTTTTTTTTTCTGGTACCGGGAATTGAACTCACAACCTCACGCTTGCCAAGCAGGCACTATGCTGCTGAGCTAAATCCCCAGCCCCTAATAAATTCATTATTAAAAGTCAATTTGACATGGAAACAAAGCTTTTGTAAGTGGGGAGGGCAGAAGGGCTTGAAGGGGGGGGAGGGGAATGGGGGAAAAATACAAGTTATATCATGTACATTTACAAATTCTCTATGATGAATGTGACCATTATGTATATCTAAAAGGTACCAATAAAATCTGATTGGGAAAAAAAAGAAAGAATAAAAATGGCCAATAAACACATACACAAGTCAATTTTTGTGATGCTTGACACTGCAATCATTCAGTAACCCCTTTATAAATGATAGTGAGCTCATTTAAACAGGGTTATTAAAGTGGTGGATCAAGGAAATGTCATAGATCAGTACTTTCCCACCTGTGCCCACCAGGAGCCCTGGGGATTCCATTCTTCAACCATAAGAGTTAAAAAAAAATTCCTAATTAAGGTTCACCTCAACCAGATATTACAGTGTGGGGGAATGATTCTACTACCACAGTTCCCCTCCAATACTGCCTTTACACAGTTTTTTGGCCAGGAGTGAAGACGGATATTGAAGCCACTGAACTTTAGCTTAGCTCCATGTGGGCGTGAGGGCAGCAGAGGTTATGAGCAGAAGGAAGAGAGCATAGTCAAGCTTCACAAGGGAAGGAAATACTACAACCTTGCACCTAATAGCATTCAGATCTTAGGATCTTCTTAATGATACACAGCGGTGAGGAAAAGGGTTAGAAGGAGGGCTTAGGTGGGGAGAACCGGGAACTATGGGAGAGAGGCCCTTCCTAAAGCTGGGGACAAGAGGGTGTTAGCAGGGTCAGCAAATGGGGAATCTGCTTTGGCTGCCTAATGGGGATAGTGGCTCCAGGTGGTCCTAGCTGGATCTATCTGGTCCTGACTGACCTCAGGGTGCAGACTGATGACATCCACTGGTTCAAGTAGATAAAGCTATTGCAGGAAGGAGGCAAGTTGTTGGAAGGGTGTCTAGAGGTCCCCCTAAAGCCTCATGTGCTCATAGGTGGAGCTTTGGGAGGTGACCAGATCATGAGGATGTGACATTCATCAGTGGTCAGTCCACAGATGAGTGTATAGTTAAATGTGATGTTCAGAGGTGGAGCATGGTCTGAGGATTCAGGCCACTGGGGGCGTGGCCTGGAAGGGTGTATTTCCCTCCACATTCCTCCCTTCCCCTTCTCTCTGCTTCCTGTCCGCCATACCATGAACCCCTCTCTGCTGCTGTAACCCTCTGCTATACCATCTTGCCTTGGAGCCAGCCAACTATGGACAGAAAGGTGAGCCAAAGGAAACCTCTCCTCCTTTCAGTTGCGGCTGGGTATTATGTCTCAGTGATGAGAAAATGACTAAGCCAGGTAAATTCATGGGGTTAGGATTTAAGGGAAGACACGAAGGAAAGCATCATAATACTAATATATTTGTGAGACCTACTCCCCCAGGTGAAGGTGACAGGATTCATTTAGTTTAGGCCTCCATGCGGACTCAACAATAAAATCAAAGGAGTAGGTTAGACATAAAAACAAAGCCAAAGGCAGGTGTGGTGGGATATGCCGTAGTCCCAGCTACTTTGGAGGCTGAGGCAGGAGGACCACTTGACCTTAGAAAACAATGAGATCCAGTCTTAAAAAACAAAAGCAAAACAAAATAAAAAATGTCAACCTGAGGACAAAGGGGAAGGATGAGGCAAACAGTCCCTAGAGGTGCCTCTCTCGGCTGTGAGAAGGCAGTGGTGACAAATGTTACTACAGCAACACAGTTCAGAGTCTTCAGTGAGCTGAGGGAAGGGAAGGGTTTGGGAGAAGGCACTGAGCAGCTTCAGCCCAGAAGGGGTGTAAGGAAGGTGACTCCTAGGGTTGTGACATATGCAACTGGGTGGAAGGTGGTGTTAGTTATTAGGATAGATCAGAGTGGATGGACCTAACATGGGGAAAGATCTACTGGGGCAAATCTGCATTGCCCTAAGCAGGAGGCAGAACGTGGGATTAAGGAATCCAGAGTAGGGGCAGCAGGGGTTGGGTGCTTGCTGCAGCTCAGGCTAAAAATGCCCAGGGACTCTGGTGGAGACAGATATAGGAGGGCAGAGCTGGAGAGGTCTGTGAGGAATGCAGGGCCAGGAGCAATATGGGAGCCTCTTTCAAGAAGAGAGGTTGTCAGTCACTGCTGAAAATGTGCCCCACTTGGTATACAGTGGAGAGAAGGGTAAGAAAATATGAAAACTAGGGGATTTAAAAATAAGCACATTAAAAGAAATACGCAAGTAAGACTAAGAGAAAGAATCAGTTCCAGTCTGGGAACTACATATGACCACTAAAAGTCTCTAAATTTTGTATGCACAGGCAGATTTTCCTCAAGATCTCCAGAAGCCAAGAAGTAACGTGACTAGCCAGGTGTGGTGGCTCACACCTGTAATCTCAGCAGTTGGGAGGCTGAGGTGGAAGGATTGCTCTTGCAGCCTGGGCTACATAATGAGTTCAAGGCCAGCCTCAACTACATAGCAAGACCCTGTCTCAAAAACAAACAAACACAAAAAGCAACAACAAAAGTAGTAGTAACACAACATTATATTGTTCTAAAGCACCACCAGCTGCCATGTGAAGAAATGAACAAGAGGGGGTGGGACTGGAGGCAGGAAGATCAGTTGCTAGGCAACTGCAGGTGAGCAGTGCTGGTAGGAAGCATCACCATTGTCCATGGGCTCATCTCTCAGCAGGTGAGAGATGCTGGAGGCTTGTTTGAGTGTGGTAGTATAAGCTGGAGAGTAGATATGCTCAGCAGGAATAAGAACTCACTGATAAGCTGCCTGTGGGGGCTGAAGGAAGGAGAATGGGGAAGGTGACTCCTAGAATTATGACAGATGAAATTGGCTAGAAGGTGGTCTCATTTATTGAGATAGGTCAGGGTGAATGGACATAATATGGGGGAAAGGGGAAATTAATTTTATTTGGGCCATATGAAGCCTGAGGTCTTTCATGGACACCCACTGATCTACAGTTGGGAATGGCAGCAGGTAGCTGGGATGGAGACACAGACCTAAGAGTCTTTGACACGGAGATTATATTTAAAGCCACAGGGCTGCCTGTGATCCTTAGTGTATCAAAAGAGAACAGAGTATAATTGTGGGCACCTTTACTGTATCATTTAGTCCCCAACTCTCCCATGTTAGCATCTGTGGAAGTTATCCTGACAGCATGAATAGAAGATGAAACACGAAGTAAAAGTTTTCATGGTCAGTGAGACCTTATGAAATATAGAACTGAAGCCAGGCATGGTGTTGCACACCTGTAATCCCAGCACTCCGGAGGCTGAGGCAGGAGGATTGTTGTGAGTTCAAGGCCAGCCTAGGCTACAAAGTGAGCTCAAGGCCAGCCTGAACTGCATACCGAGACCTTGTCTCAAAAGACAATAAACAACAACAAAAAAAAACAAACAAAATATGGAACTGATATCCTGTTCTGATCCACTCAGAAGCTTATTACCTCATCATCCATTTAGAAGGATATCGGAGAAAGTGTGCATGGGTCCTGGTCTAATCTGCATGTTCCCTCATGGCTCCTGCTAACCCAGTGGATCCTGTCCTAGCTGGGCTTTGTAACTCAGGTGTCTGCTTCCTTGAAGCAAAGCAAAGGACCTTAACCCATATCTTCTGCTTCATCAGTCTTGTTACTAATGATAGATGACCTACAAAGGATGCACACAGTACAAGGCTGGGAAGGTGAGCTGTGGATTTACAGGACTAATGAGAATTAAGAAAAGAGGCTGGGTGTGGTGGCACACACCTGTAATCCCAAGCACTCTGGGAGGCTGCTGCGGGAGGATCTAAACTTGAGTCTAGTCTGAATAATTTACTAGCTTAGTGAGACTCTGTCTCAAAAACAAGTCAGTCAGGTGTTGTGGCATACACCTATAATCCCAGCACTCAGAAGGCTGAGGCAAAAGGACTGCAATGAGTTTAAGGCCAGCTTGGCTACATAATGAACTCAAGACTAGCCTGAACTATGCAATGAGACCCCATCTCAAGAAAAAAGCAAAAGCAAAAACCAAAACAAGACACACCTCAAAAAAATAAAAATAATGAGCTGGGGATGTAGCTGTGTGAAGGCCCTAAGTTCCATTCCCAGTACTGCAAAAAACCCTAAACCAACCAACCAACCAACCAAACAACCAAGAAATACAAAAAGTTGCTATGCATAGTGGCATACATCTGTAATCCTAGCTATTCAGGAGCCTGAGGCAGGAGGACTAAAAGTTTAAAACCACCCTGAGCAACTTTGTGAGACCTTGCACTCTCCCTCCCAATAAAAGAAAAAAAAACTCAACAATGAAATGTCAGGATGAGCAAATGTGCATATCAAACTTAAGTACACTAGAGAACAGGGAACAACTAAGTGTGGAACAACCAATGTAGCAAACAGTGTTTTTAATGTGTAGTTGATTACAAACTCAGTGAGTCACCAATGGGTCCAGTTGTTAGTCCTTTCCCTGTATGGCCCACCTGCTCTGCTCCCTTCAGGGACAGATGCTCCTCAGCCCTGCCACGTCCAGGGCACCAGCATTACTGCTATGCTGTCTTGTTTCTGGCTTGTGCATTTCTCATGTGTCCCGCTCACGTCACCAGAGGCGTTAAAACACACATACACACAAATTGGATTTCTCAAAGGTTCTTTAACTACTTTATGAAGTCCTAACTGTAGCTTGTAGAAGTTCCTTGTAGCTTATGAACTTTCTTCTCCCAGGCCTTGCTAGCTTCTCCAGAATCATTCTATTGATTCTGATCCCTCCAGACATAATGAACCATCCATTTACTGCAATGTACAACCTGTTGGTAATCCTAGAAAGTGCCTAAAGGAATAAGCACTGTAGAGATTGGTGGGGTGGTGTGTGCCTGTAATACTAGCACTCTGGGAGGCTGAGTCAGGAGGATCACAAGTTCAAACACAGCCTGGGCAACTTAGCGAGACCCTACCTCAGAAATTTTTTTAAAAGGGTAGGAAGAGTCTAGGAATGTAGTGTGGTGTGAAAGCCCTGGGTTTAATCCCCAGTACTGCAGGGTGATTAAAAAAAAAGTGCACCATGGAATCACTAACTGGGCGGAGCTGAAGGATGGGAGGGGTATCCCTCAGGCTGAGCTTTCTGTGCGGGCTGTAAGACTCTTGACTCGAGAACAGTAGTGAGAGATTTCCTACTGTGAGTGGGAGCTGACCTCGCAGGGGCTGTAAAGCCTGAACCCCAGAAGCCCTAAGTTTCAATCCACTTAAGGGCGATTTTCTCTGAAAGATGTCCTTGTCAAGCCTGAGAAGCGCAGGCCAGTTCCTCCTCTAACTTCCTCCCCTCAATTACTCAGCGAGTGAAGGTACATATACATCTCTAGTACTTAAGGGTAAAAGGTTTTTCTTTGTCAATGACTATTAAGTTGTAACTTTCTTGTTTTTAGTTCCCAAATTCTGTCATTTTCTTTTGTGTAGCCAGCAGAGAAGCAACCTTTGGTCTTAACCGCAGCCCTCCTCTCCTGACTCTTCCTGCCTGGGCAGCATGGTAGATGGGATGTGTGCACAGACTGGGTTGTATGCAGGACAACAGACCAAGTGTGGGAATCGTCAGGGAACTCAATGGAGTTATAGATCACATGGCTCTTTTTGATCTTAAAAGAAGGTGATGACTGTTCAGATACCAATTGGCTAAGTAATACTGCCTGGAAACGGCTTTTTAAAAAGTTCATACTTTCTCGTCTACCCCGCAACCCCGCTACCCCGCTCCCTTCACTACTGCTTTCCCACAGCCCAGGACTTTTATCAAGCTCACCTGCCCTCTCTCCTCCAGTTCTGTTAGCATCACAATGGAACAGGATTTCCACTCCCAGATCATTCGCCAGAAGTCCTCAATTGTGTGGAGAAGAGGGCCCTGGCTAGCGATGTAGGAGTCCTTCTGCCGGTAACCCTAGACACGCCAGGGCAATCACAGGGGTGAGTAAGCTTTAATCAGGGAGGGGTGAAGCTTGTTTGGGAGGCAGTGAGGCAGGAATGGGGGCTACTTAGAGGCAAACCCATTAGAAGCAGAGTTCCCAAGGATCAAAACCTTGGGAAGGGCGGGGGTGCTAGAGCTAGGACAAGTAGTCCAGGTACTGGAAAGATACTGCACATTTCATCAGCTCTGGGCTGTGAATTTGTTATGAACTTTCCCTCTAGGTATCACACTGGTGCACACACTGTTTCGCCCATCTTCTGCTCTTTGGGGCTAAGCAGACCTAGTGTGCACAATGGCTGGGTATCAGCTCAGTAGCTACTGATTGACTCAGAGAAGATCCTCCCAAACAGGCATGTGAGGGAGGCACTGTAAGTCCCAGGGAATCTCCATGGGGTGTTGGGAGCGCAGGGGACACATCCATCACTCACATCAATGAAGGATGCATTCACGTAGTCTGTGTTCTCCTCGCCTCGTTTAACTGGAATGATCACTCTGTTGAATTCATCTGCAAGAAGGATAGTGGCTTGTAGCTTGTTAGGACAGTTAAAATGGGCTGTCAACTTGACTGGTTTTGGAGCTGACACTCAGGGATCAGTAGCACACTTCTGGATGTGTCTGTGTGGCGTTGGCTGCTATGTCTGGTCCATGGCCCTTTCCTCTTCTGCTCTGCTCCCAGATGCCATGAACGAAGGAGCTTTGTTTACCCCATCCTTCTGCCATGATGTTTCTGTGTTGGAACCGGATGACCATGGACTAAAACCAAATTAAATCTCCCCTCTTTTACTTTAGATGTTGGGTATTTTATTCAGCAGTGGGAAAGCTGACCAATACTCTTGCCAGCATGTTCTTTTTCTCTATTGCTCCTGCACAGCCCTGGGCAGATATAACCTCTGCTGGGCAGGGACATGTCTGTTCCTAGCCCAGGAGAGAGAAAGCCTTTGGTTTTTATGTTTCTAGAAGCCATTTAAGAACTGGGAACAAAAAAGGCAATGCCATGATTCTTTTTTTGTTTGTTTGTTTGTTTTCCAGTACCGGGAATCGAACTCAGGACCTTGCGCTCGCCAGGCAGGTGCTGTGCCACTGAGCTAAATCTCCAGCCCCGATTCTTTTTTTGTTTTTGAGACAGAGTCTCACTCTATAGTTCAGGGTGGCCTTGAACTTACTATGTAGCCCAGGCTGGCCTTGAACTCACAGCAATCCTCCTGCCTCAACCTCCCAAATTCTAGGATTACAGGCGTGTGCCACCACGCCTGGCTGTAATGGCCAATCATTACTTAGTGTTAGAAAAGTAGAAGCAGGGGTGAGAGAATTGGGGGATAGGGCAATACAGCTTTGGGGTAGGGAGAAGGCTCTTACATGGAATGATCTGTAATACCCGGTTCTTCTTCATGTTGGCTGGAAGGTTTCCAGTCCGCATCTTGTCATTCTGGATTTTGATTGACGTTAACTTCTAAATGAGGTAGGGAAGGGGAAAAATTACTGATTCCAGTAATGGAACTTGATAAGACTACTGTCACTGGGCCTGCACCTCCATGCCATGCTGGCTGTGTGCTGTTGCTCTTACCCTCAGGACCCTCACCTCTTTCTACAAATTCTCATTGGAACATTATTTCTTCTATCTTTAAATTCAGTAAACAAGTCAAGTGCCTGGGACACACTTTCTTCCTGTGGATTCCTCTGGCCTGGAACACATTTTTTTTTTTTTCTTCCAGTATCAGGAATCAAACTCATGACCTTGCGCTTGCCAGGCAGGTGCTTTGCCACTGAGCTAAATCCCCAGCCCCTTGGCCTGGCACATTTTGAATCCAGAGCAAGGATCCCAGTACAGTACGAGGGAGTATGTCTCTGCACCACCTGCTTCGCTGTTCTATCCCTAGAGGCAGTGTCAGACTCCTAGGAAAACTTACTCAAATGTGTATCCTCCTGTCCTCTGATTCTGAGGTTTCTTCTTAATCCTTGCATCTCAAAGTGTAGCCCAGACATCAGCAGCACTGGCCTTGTCTTGTTAAGAGATGCAGAATCTCAGGCTCTAACCTAGACCTACTCAATCAGAACCTGCTCCGCCAGGATCCCTGTACCCTCAGCCCTGACAGGATCCTGAGAAATTTGTGTACACACTACAGTTTAGAAGGAAACTGCTTCTTTCCTTTACCTAGTGCTTAAAGAAAAGTGGTTCTTCTCATCCCAATTCAAAATCCCTTGTTCTTGGGAACAGTTTTTGTTGATGCGAGTATGATATTAGATTTTGACTTTGTGCCTTTTTTTGGTGCTAGGGACTGAACTCAGGGCTTCATATATGCTAAGCATGTACCTTCCACTGAGCAATACCCTCAGTCCTGACACTGGCTTATGTACTGAGAGCTATAATCTAATGGTATACAGCAGTGATCAGCACCTAAGGTGCACAGGGCAAGCCCAGCCTGCTGTCACAGTAAAGTTTTCTTGAAGGAGGCTCCATTCATTTGTTTATATGTTTTCTATGGCTACTTTTATGCTACAGTGGCAGTGTTCAGTAGTTGGGAAAGAGACTGTAATGATCTGCAAAGCCTGAAGTACTTATTAGCTGGTCCTTACAGAGGAACTTTGTTCTTGCCGTGTATTATAATCATTTGGGAAGGCTGGGGAGCTTTAAAAAATACCACTGACTGGGTGTGGTGGAACACTCCTGTAATCCCAGCACATGGGAAGCTGAGGCAGGAGGATTGCCATGGGTTCAAAACCAGCCTGAACTACATAGTGAGACCCTGTGTCAAAAAAACAAAAAACAAAATAAAAAATACCACTCCTTGATAACCCCTCACTACCCAAGTTATTCCAATGTGCAGAATGTGTTGATCAAGAGGGAGTATGGGTAAAAGGCCACCTGTCTGCCTCATCAGGGGACTCTGTCTACTAGTAAATGTACAAGGCGTCAAGCGTCTATCTAGATCATGTGCTTTCTTCCATCTAGAGTTGATATTCCAGCTCCAACTCACCTTAAATTCCTCCTCTAATCCATTATTGCTGGTCCCTGGGATTTTGTTGTAAATTTTTTGCAGATGGGTTTCTAGAGAGGTCACTTCCAGTTCTGTATCCCCATAGAGATAATGCTCCAGAAGGGCTTGGTATATAAAGACATACTGCATCTGAAATTCGGATGATGCTAAATCTTCAGTACACACAACACAGTCCTTGTGCCAGATCACCCCTCCCACCCCTTTACTCCAGTCCACCTCTCCTTTGATCCTAGCAGGATAAAATAATTCACTTTTATTGTCCTAACTCCTCAGTGAGGCAGGACTTGAAGTGTGTGAGTCCCTCTGCAGGTGCTTAACGTGACAGGCAGGGTACCAATCTCCTTGCGGGTTCTGGAAGCAATGCGAGAAGGCCATATGCAGCTTCTGCTCAGCTCAAGAGGGCAGATTTGATAGTCTTAAGGGTTATCAGAATCTGGAGTGGCACAAAGCCCGTGACAGTCTGCAGTCAGCTTCCCTCACATGCTGTGCACTGACCACACAGGCCATCTCACTGCTGCTCCAGGACATGGCCACTACATCATGACTTTGTAGGTGCTGGCATGTTTGCTTCCCTCATGGATGTCTGCTTCCAGTGAAGCTCCAGCGAAAATCACACTGATTCCTGACTGCCCAGGCACAAAGCCACAATCTCCTCTGTGCTACTTCTGTAAGTACATAGTTTATAAGGGTCCTCATCACACTGTACGAGGATCATTTACAATAACCTAGGAGACTGAGTGAGCCCTCAAAGGGGGCAGTTTTGGCCCTGGAATCCCCTCCACCTTGGGCTCATCACTCACGTCTGTTTGCACCATCTGGCAGCGCTGGGCTCGGATGCGGCTCACAAAGCCATACACATCCACCTTCCGTTCTGTGTGCATCATGTCCAGCATGGCATCAATGACGACAAAGGTACCTGTGCGCCCGACACCTGCACTGTAGCCAAAGAGCAGTGGTGTTACCGGGGGGAAGTGTGCCTTGTGGGAGAACGGGGAAGAATGGCTTAGGTTGGCACTCTTTCTTCATGTCTCTAAATATTAATTCTGAACAGGGTAAAGCTGGGACTCTTTTGGAACCAACAACTTCACTGTGTCCTGAACTCCTAAACTCTAGCTATCAGGAATGGATCCCTTGACACTTAGAAGTGTCTGAAGGCAGCCAGGTGTGGTGCTGCATGCCTATAATCCCAGAACTTGGGAGGCCAAGGCAGGAAGACCCAAGCTTGAGGCCAGCCTGGGCTAGAGTGAGCTCAAGGCCAGCCTGAACTGCCTGGTGGGTCCTGGGTTCAATCTCTAGTATTGCAAATTGTAAAAAACAACAAAGCAACAGAAGGGTCTGAAGGGCTCAAGTATATATGGGCACAATGGCACTCAAACTCTTGGTTTATATGAGGATCTCCCAACTTCCAACTTTGGAAGATTGCTTTTGCTTTCTTCTTTCCTCAAGTCATATTCTCTACCCTGCAACAGAGCTTGAGGAATCTCTCTGGCTACTGCATGGGGCCCTTTCTGCTCATATGCTCAGTGCTAGCCTCCTTAGCCAGGGTTCCTGTGGTATTCCCCTGCTCTGACCACTGAGTAAGGATACCATACTGACCTGCAAGGGGCAGCCATACTGACCTGCAGTGGACCACGATGGCTCCTGCATATTGAGGGTTACAGGCCTTCACCTTCTTGAGGAACTTGAGCATGCCAATTGGGGTGAAAGGGACTCCAAAGTCTGGCCAGCTGGTAAAGTGAAACTGAGTGATGAGGCGCTGTGGTTTTCTGTTGGTCACATCACCCACCTGTGAATTGAGATTCTGTGTGTTGCTTCTGATGCTCATGTCTGGGCAGCACCAGGGAGTGGGGTGGGGAGGGGTGTACAGCAGCAGCTATCAATGACAATGGAGAAATGACAGTGAGAGAGATTCTTTCTAGTAAGTCAGGCAGGGGTGTTATGATTATTCTTGGTCTATGGTTGTGGAAGGTGAAAACTCAAGAGCTTAAATGAACTGGTCAAGGGCTAGCACTTATGAATGGTCAGGTAAGAATGAAAATGTAGGGCTCCAGATTCTTCGTAAATCCTCTTTCCACTGTACCATGTGCCCCTTAGTAGAATCAGCTTTGTCCAGGCCTCCAGGGTTGCTCGGGAGGGCCCCGGACAGGCTTTGACATCTGTCAGCAGCCTTTGGAGTAGGGAAGAAGAGGTGAGTTGAGCACACAGGAGACTGAGCCACCTCCTGATGTCTCCACTCCACACCTGGCACCCAAGGTAACCATACTCTACCTCAATGGGTGCTCTCCTCCCTGACACAAAAACACTCCTCCCTGCTATGGCAGAGAAGTTCCCTGGAGGCCAGATCACAGGTTTCAGAATCCAAACGCACTGCACACTCAGCAATGACTGACTCTCAGTAAAAGTGGGGACGACCCAGCCTATTTCCATTCTCTTGGTGGTCAGCAGATGCTAAGTAAGAACCTGGAAAAAGGGCAGGAGACAGTACCTGCTGTATACAGAACTTTCGTACTGTGTAGTCCACCAGGACGGTCACATCCTCTACGGACACACGGATATTCCCATAGGTCCAGCAGCCTTGGTCTGGCCAGTACTGGGCGCACTTACACTGGAAAAAAACGGACACATATTCCCTTACTTCAGATTTCCCTACAGATGCAAAGGGCCTGAAAGGAAGAGACCACAAAGCACACATTAAAGTCCTCAGAAAGCCCTATGGTCTCTTCTCTCACCTCAGTCAGTGGAGACCTATTTATTTTAACTTCCTTTAATCAAATTCCTCAGCTCCCACAATTTATTTACACACAGCCTCAGCCCCATACTTATCCATCTTTCCATTCCTATCCTCTCAGTTAAGATAAAATCTGAAGCCACTTTACTTACAAAATCTGCATTTCCACAGTACCCAGGTCAGGCTCTAGGAACAAGCCTGTCTGAACCCTTGGAACTGGTGGCCTGCTCTATGGAGGCCATCCAGGATGGACTACCGAGACTGTAAATGAGAAGCCTAAGGCCCTTTCCCTTCACCAGGCCTTGGATAACTTCTAAGGGCCAAAGGTCTGGTTGGGAGACACTAACCTGATGCCAAAATCCAGCACTATACTGCCTATGAATTGTGGAGTTACTGATCAATACACCCAAAACCTCATGATAGCGATTAAGGAGACTCAAAGGCCAACCTTGAGAAAGGCTGTCTCTAATGGGATTTTTCACTGGGACTACATCTAGGATGTAGGAATGGCACTGGCTGTGGCCCAATAAGGGAACTGGCAGGTCAGTAGTAAACCAGGCAGCCACAGAAGGAAAACAGCAGCCAGAAGGCTACCAGCAGGGTGAAGCCGCAGATTTCCTCACATTCCTGCAGGGTCTAGGTTCATACAGTTCCCTCTGCCAACTTTAGGCTGCATTAAAGGCCCCGGGAGGTGGGCCAGGAAACCAGGACAAGGAGGGACTAGAGATACCAACTGAGAAAAGCCTCGCTGTGGCTTTTCCTTAGCTAATGGGCCCAAGTCTTCATTCCAAGCCATTCGGAAACCAGAGTAAGATATCTGACTAGTAGGCCTGGAAATGTGCCCTGGGCCCTTTCTGAAGTTCACTGGAAGCTTCCAGACCACAGAAAAATCTGGCAAGTGCACCAGCTTATGTCTGTCTGGATGAGCTACTGGCACAGCAGCCACAAAAATGAGACTGCCAGGCTCAAAGTCACAGCTCCAGTAGAACAGCCCTTCTGCTGGCCATACCTGTACTGGGGAACCTCTTATCTAATTTCCACTCACCTCCTTCCTCTCCTTCAGGTTGGTAACCATGACGATGGTGGCTGTGTTTTGTTCCCAGATCATCCTCCAGAAATCATTCACTGTTTCTTCTTTTGGTCCTAAAGTAGCCAATAGCAAAGATGAGAACATACTCTACGGGGAAGAAAGATGCTAGGGAACTGGGAACACCTAATCCTGCCTTTTGGAAGGTTGTGTTCACAGGGTCTCACAAATATACAATTTATCTGTCCATCTACTCAATTATTAATTAAATGCTTCCTAAGTATACTTAACTGGGATTTCAGGTACGGGTATGAACAAATTCACATAGCTGGGACACAGTAAGGTATCTGGGCAATCCTGAATCCAGCCTGCTGTTTAGGTGGGTTACATTGCACTCACTGTGACGCCAAAGGACAAAGGACAAAAAACAGTTTTGGAGTTGAGTAAGAGATATATTTTAGTTTCTGATATTAAATCTAAAGAGTCTTGAGGTATCCCTGTAAGGACGTATAAAATTCTGAAAATGTGGCTAAGACGCTTAAGAGAAGTCTCAAACCATGTGTGGTAGCACATGCCTGTAATCCCAGCTCAGGAGGCTGAGGCAGGAAGATCGTTGCAAGTCTGAGACCAGCCTGGGCTACAAAGTGAATTCAAGGCCAGCCTGAACTGCATACTAAAACCTTGTTTTTTTTTTTTTTAAAAAAAAAAAAAAAAAAAAAAAGGCCTTTCAAAGAGAACATAAGGGGAAGAACAGAAGGATAAAACTGAGAACTCTGTGGGTTAGCCAGGGATGGTGTGCATCCCTATAGTACCAGTTACTCAGGAGCCTAACATGGGAGGAGAACTTGAGCGCATGAGTTCAAGAACAACCTGGGCAACATAGACCTCCATCTCAAAAATAAAACAAAACGGAAACAAAAATCCTGGAGATCCTCAGCATTACATTGTCAAGTTTAGGAAGAATAACAGCCTTGGAAGGAAACTAAGGAGGCATAGATGGAGAGCAGGAAATGGGACCGGGAAAGGTACATTTAAAGAAATGACTATCCACAAATTACAGTGGAAATTAAATTATATTAAGGGGTACAAAGAGGAACAAAAGCCAGAAGAACATTTAAAACAGTGAGAAAAATCAAGAGAACCAAATGTGGGGAAATAATACTTTCAAGGACTGTGAAGCACTATGAGGAGATTCCAGAGGATGGAGTCTAAGAAAGATCAGGAAGTCACAGGCAACTTTAATTCAAGGACTATTTTAGGGTCAACAACACAAGTAGAGAGAACAGACTGTGCACAGTGCTCAAATCATCACTGAATAGCTGGTATCTGAGCTGGGTCTTGGAGGGTGGAGCTGAACTGACAGGTGACTTGGAGGGGAAAGAAGGGCCCAGTTAGGCAGTGGCCAGGCCCCTAATCTCTAATATGTGTCTACTGAGCGTTAAAATGTGCCCAGTATGATCAAGGAACTAAATTTTATTTTTTTTAATCTTTTTTTTTTTTTTGAGACAGGGTCTTGCTATGTAGTCCACGCTGGTCTCAAACTCATGGTGATCCTCCTGCCTTAGCCTCCTGAGTGCTGGGATTACAGGCATGCACCATGATGCCTGACTTCAAGGAACTACATTTAAGTTTTATTTAATTAATTAAAATTTAATTTTTAAATTTTTTGAGGAACTGGAGATCAAACTCAGGGCCTACACCTGCTAGGCAAGCCTTCCTGCTACCACTGAGATACATCCCCAACCCTAAAAATTTAATTATAAATACCCACATGTAACTAGTGGTTATCATAATAACAGCATAGTCACTTATCAATATTGCTGTTAATATTTGCTATAAGCTTTCCTCTTATATCTTCTTTCTCTCCATATCACCAACATTTAGTCAAGCATCTGGCACATAACACATGGTCAATAAGTATTTGTTGACCACAATAAATTAGCTTGGTGGACCACAATAACATCAATTGCTTTTCTTTTTAAAATATGATCCCCGACTCGGTGTTTTTTTTTTTTTTTTTTTGTCTTTTCTTCTGGTACCAGGAATTGAACTCAAGACCTTGCGCTTACCAGGCAAGTGCTTTGCCGCTGAGCTAAATCCCCAGCCCCGAGACTCGTATTTTGGGCCGGCCGCCGGACCTCAGTGCAGTGGTGGGAAGTGAAAGCCTTGTGCCCACACTGCCAGCTGTATCTCCCAGTACCTCCCAGGGCAAAGCAGTGACCTACTCACCTTGGCCAGGAGCCGGCTGGCCTGAGAAGCCAGCGTGTGGGTCCACTCTGCGGAGGGCTGGACGGTGGCAATGCCCTGGCTCTCTGGAAGCCACCCTGGGGTGGGCATGTTGGGGTGTGAGGAGGGGCTCAGTTCTCCTTGGGCCGTGGGCCACCCTGGAAGACACAGGTGTCGAGGATGAGGATAGTCCTCCCAGGACCGACAAACTGAAAGCTCAGAACCCCCACGTCTATCCTCAGGTTACAGCTCAGCCGTCTTCACACTGGCCCCAGGGATAGGGCTGGGCAGGGTGAGAACCAGGTCCCAAGCTGGGAGGAATAGAGCCATGCGGGCCTTGGGGTTCCCAGTAGTAGCGTGGCCTCTAACTCGGGGACGAGTGGGGCCTGGTCCCAACCCTTCCCTTCATTACTGTGTGACCTTCAGCCTTGGTCTCTTAATGGTCACAGGGTGACAACAGTGCGTCCCTCACCAGGTCGGTGCAGGGTTAAACTGAGACCACATCACAGGTGTCACACGGACTGCAGGGGCTGGCTGCAGTCACCGCTCCCCACTCCCAACGTTTCCAAGATGCCCAGTGGCAGAGTCAGGGCCCAACTGGGTGCCCTGGCCACACACAAGGCCCTTTTCCCATTGCTTGACTTCTTTATGTCACAAGGCCCAGATAGCAGCCTGTGTTTTCCCTGGCCCAGGGTGACCGAGGCTCCCTGAGATGAGTGACAGGAGGAACTTCCTTCCCAGACTCACCTGCGGCCTCCGAGGCTTGGGGCTGCTTGGCGGGGCTGGGCCTCCACTCTGCTGAGCGGGGCTGGGGGATGGTGAAGGACAAGACCTTGGTCCCCTGGGGCACCGTCCCCATGTGGGTGCTGTGGCTAGGCTGGGGCGGGTCCGAGTACAGGTGGATCTGTGGAAGAGGGAGGCGGGCAGAGCCACGTCAGGGTGGCCTCACTTCATCACACCCCGGGGTCAGTAGCTCAGCAGCCACTCTTCCCAGTGACAGATTCCACCCTGTGGTAGAGCCCTTGGGTGGCACCGGGCACCAGGTGAAGGGCTTCCGGGTCCTTTTGCTTTCTCTTTATGGCTATCTTGAAAGGGAGCAGTGCAGGGACCAACAGCCCTATCTTTAAGAAGGGAAAACAAAAACTCAGAGAGGTTACGACACTGAATAAGAATCTCCAGCTGATAAGTGTTTGGATTATGATTACAACACTTCTCTACCTGACCCCAAAGCAGACTGTTTTTCCACTATTTACAACTGTGATATATAGTATTTATTATGGTGTAACCATACTATTGTATAATATATAGCAAACAAGAATTACTATTTCTTAATAAAAAATAAAATATTTCCAATAAGAATTATTATACTGATAATAAATAGCAACGAATGCCAGTCTGAATGAATGAATAAATGAGTGAATGAATGAATCGCTGTCTGGTTGAATGAATGAATGAATGAATCAATGAGTCACCAAGTGAAAAAAATGAGTCCCCCTGGTTGTGGTTCCATCATCTGAGGATGGGTTGAACAGAGCAAGCAGCAGGTTTGCGAGAGAGAAGTCTGGAGCGAGGCAGGAAGCCTGGTGAGCGGCAGGAGCTCACGTTCCCTACACAGGTCGAGCACAGAGGCTGGAACTGTGGTCCGCTCTTGTACACAGCGTGTCACTGGACACAGCCGCACCTGTTTGTCCAGGTGTTATCTGCAGCTGCTTTTGCTCCAGAGCAGCAGAGCCAAGGAGCTGCGACAGAGACCAGAGGGACCACAAAGCTGCAAAGACTCCATCTGGCCGTGTATGGAGTTTGCCAGGCCTGGTGTAGCGGTGGGGCCCGCAGTCAGGGCTCGGCTTCCCGCCTTGGTTCTACCGCCACACACCTGAGTCCTAGAGCAGCTCACGTAGCTAGTACTTCCGGCCAGAGGTAAGTGCTCAATCAAGAGCAGTCACCATCTTCACATTCATTGTCACTGCCACCATCACCACATCCCTATCATTATATCACCATCACCATTAATTATATCACCATCGCCACCATGCACAACACCATCATTACCATCATCATAACAATTATCATTTCTGTGGATACTCCGGAGGCAGCTCCAAGGAAAAGCCTCACTCCAGGGGTGACTTGGTGCCTTGTTATGATGTCAGGGAGGTTATGCTGTCTGCCCCTGCAGCCCCAAGCTCGGGACCAGGCAGCAAAGGATGGGCTGGCCGAGGGACTCCCGGGAGCCCAGCAAGCAGCCTCTCCTGTCTACACTGTCCTTCAGGACCCAGCTGTGGCAGAAACACCTACTCCACGTGTGACTTGGCCCCGCTGCCTCCTCCTCCTGCTGCTGAACCTCACCAGAGGAGAACAAAGCTGGATTTGAATAATCCCTTCGGCCATCTGCTCAGACCCGCCTGTGGGAGGCTGTCCAGTAGCACCCCGCTCTGCCCCAGGTGACCCAAATCCCAGGGGACGGCCCTCCTCTCTCTGGCCCAGGCCCCACCTGGGCAGCAGCTGGGAAAATGGAAGCAGGTGGGGATGGGCTCCGGAGGGCAGAGGCCCTTCCCTCTGCTTCAGGATCAAAGAGGAGCTTGAAACAGAGAGGCCCAAGGCCTAGGCACATGCCCAGAGCAACGGGAAATAGCCGAGGGTGGCAACTGCTGAACTGCGCAGGCCTGTTCCTCTCTGGACACAGCTGGCCCCACCCCTGGTTTCCAGGCGTCCACAGCAGTGTCCCGCGCAGGACTGGCTCCCTAGGGGATTCTGGGCAGGCGGGAGCAGGGGAACATTGGGTTAAACAAATGAGTATTCTCTGCGCAGATGGCCTTCTCACATCCTTTAAAATGCTAATGGGCTTATGAATGGGGCAGGAGGGGAGGAGGAGAGGAGGGAGTATATCCTCCACTTACAACACCACACTACACTGCACCGCACCACACCGCACCACACCACAACACAGAAGCCTGCCCCAGCCCCACCTGGGCTTCTGGACCCAGTGGGGCAGTCAGAACACACTTTGGGAAAGGCGGTCTTGTGTCACCCCCCTAATTCCTTCTGGGCTGATTGCTGGTCACCTCAGTCCTTCCACAGCCCCCGGTAGCTCAGAGGAAGAACACGGGTGGGGGGGTGGGCAGTGACAGGCCAGTGAATGCGGTGACATCACCATAAACTGCCCAGAGGCCTACATGGAGACCAGAGCCCACCAGCGACCCCTGACTGGCGGGATCCCTGCTCTGTGCCTCTCACCCCCAGGGGCTCCCTGGTCCAGCCCTAGGTTCCCACCTGGGTCCACTGTACTCCCAGGCAGGACCTTGGTCAGCGTTCTGGCTGCAGATCCTGCAGGTATTTAGTGTGGTTCCTGCAGTGCGCTGTGGAGAGGGCGCCCCGCAGCCACAATGTGAGGCCAAGCTTCCGCTCGGGTAACTGCATGTTGAGTGGTCTTGGGTAAGTTGCCTAATGTCTCTGTGCCTAGCTGTAAGTCACTTCAGTCAACCAACATCACTTCCTGCTTCTCATCACTGTGACCGGCCCTGTCCCTACGCCGGTCCCCCAGAGGGCCCTGGGCCAGATATGTACCCAGGCCTGGGAGGAGCGCCCTCTGTGCAGTCAGCACAGGGTCCAGTCCTACCCTCACCTCTCTCAGGGGTGTGGGATGCACAGCAAACCCCACCTGACCCAGCCTCAGCATCTGCAGGTGCAGGGGACCCCATGGGATGACAATGGCCAGGGCCCGGCACCTCTGAACAGCGTGTCTCCTTCCTGTGGTCCCCACCTGTCCCTGCTCTCCCATCTCAGGCCTGGCTCCCTCCCAGGGGGGCCCGGCCTTCAGTGGGCGCTGAGCAGCATCTCATGAATGGGCTCCTGACATGAGATCTGGGCCGCCTGCCTTCTGGGGTCCCCTGTGCCTTCAGGGCAGAAGGCAGGGCCTCCAGAGTGAGGACTCCTGGCTCCCCCTGGGCCTGTGGACCTGGGGAGCGGCCTTCCCTCACTCCAGGGCCCTATCCCTTCTCTCCCACGACTGCGCCGCAATGAGATGAGGCTGGCAGAGTGTGGGCCTGCGTGCAGCTGTGCATCCCTTTGTCCCTTCGCTGAGGAAGCAGGGCAAGGGAGCTGGCTCTGTGGAGCTGTTTCTGGCCTCTCCCTCCTAGGAGCCCCTCACAGGCAAGCTGGGCTCGGGGTACCAGCCAGGCTCCCTGGAGCCCATGGGGAGTTTGGGCTGGGGAGCTGCAGGAGAGGAGGTCCCACCCCTCCCAGGTATCCACGCAGCCTGCGCCTGTGCTTGTGCACAAAAAGCATCAGTAGGGCTTTGCACTAGTGACTTCCCTACTCTGGTGAGGCACCCACCACGTACCAGGCCAGTACCTTCCTAGACAGGCTCCATAAATGAGGAGGGAGGAGGGAGGGGGAGAGGCTGCAGCCCCTGCAAGCGCCTCCTGATCTTTGACTGCTCCGGGCCCTTCAGCAGCCCCAGCCCTAGCCGGGTCCCCAGGTTTTCAGTCTGCTGAAGGGTTTGGGCCTGATGCCCGCTCCTTTCTCCTCTGACCTCTGGGGAGTCCACAGGTCTGAGGAAGCGCCTCTCACAGATGTGCCAGTGGGTGGCAGGTGTGAGGACCAAGGAGCAGTCTTGGTCCCAGAACAGGCCTCCACGTGGTGGTGCGGGCCTGTAACCCCAGCAGTCTGGGAGGGTGAGGCAGGAGGATCCCAGAACAGCTCTCCTTCTATGTTCTCACCGTGGCTGCCCCACCCACACCCTGGAAGAGCCTTTAGATCTGGAGAGCAGCACTTGGCAGGGTCCTGGGGTATGGCAGGGCGGGCCTGCCTGGGAGGGTGGCAGGACCCTGTGAGAAGAAAGGCAGCTGTCAGCCACCACCCCTCCTCCACAGCTGCCTGAGGGGGAAGGGGGATGGGGAGAGCAGGAAGTCGCGACAGGTTCCACTTCCTGCCTCACCCAGAGAGAGGATGGTTTCAAGATCAGCCTGCGTAGCCTCCTCCCAAGATGGCTGGGTGGTCCCAAGAGGGACTGCTCACCTCCCGCCGCACACTCACTGGGAGAGGCTATGGAGAAGACAGGCAAAGACGGGCCCCGGGAGCAGCACCAGGGTCTGAGCAGACATCTTGCACTACTCCAGAGAGAGGCCCAGAGAGGCCCCGTAGCCTCCCTATGGACATGCACCTGATTAGCAATGGAGTCAGGAGTGGAGCCTAGGTGGTCCAACCCCAGAACTTAATTTGAAGAAGAACGCTCTGGTGAAACTCCTGGACACCTCAGATTCTAGCATTCCAAAATATCAAAGTTCATCAAGGTAAAGGAAACAGGGCCCAGAAAGGGCAAGACCCAGACCAGGTCACAGAGAGACCTGTCGTAGAGTGAGGACTGGGGCTCCCAGATGCAGAGGGCAATGGCCTTTCCCTAGGACTAAGGAATAAAAAGCCACCTTCAGGGGCGCCCAGCCCAGCCCAGTACCTTGGCCCCGAGGCGCAGCTGGTCGATGGTGTTCTCGGCCTCGGCATACTTGGTGAGGAGCTTGTGGTAGTCCTCCTGCAGGAGAAGAGAGCAGGGTGGTCATGCCAGGTATGCAGCGTGCCCCTTGCCTCTAGCTGCCCATTCTGGCTTCTTCAGAGTGAGAGCTTCTCGATGGAATTCTGGAGCAGAGCATCAGGCAGCTGGGCAAATCCTCTACTGCCTTTGCCAGGAGACTCTCCTGACCTCTGATAGGTTTTCCTTGAGGTACCACCCCCATGGCAGGGAACTTCCTTATCTGGCTTTATGGGGTATGATCACATCCACACTTCTCACTACACCTTTCTGACCGCTTATGCGGCATGTGCTTTAAAAGTATTTTTTAATGATTGAGTGTGAAGGCTCATGCTTGTAAGCCCAGCACCCAGGACGCTGAGGCAGGAGGATCATCATGAATTTGAGGCCAGCCTGGCCTACATAGTGAGTTCAAGGCCAACCTGAACTACATGGCAAGACCCTGTCTCAAAAAACCAAAG